AAGTGTTCAAGTGGACTTTATATGAAAAGCTAAAGAAACTGATGAATAAAATGTGAGAGGTTTCTTACAAATTTGTGCATTTGTAAGAAAGAAAATATTGTAATTTTTCTGTATGACTTAAAATTACTTTTAAAAGACTTGTGGAATCTGGCCTTGAAGACAAGTTGAACATTTTTGATAACTATGGATTTTTTTATTCAAAATTTGTCTTTTTAAATAGATTTGTAATAATACTTACTGGCAGAATATCTTCTTGCTAGTAATCAGTTTGAACTTTAGACTTTTTCTCTGTTTCTGTTAGATACACTCTACCTGTGTCTTAGAGAAATCACTCAAGTAATACAATTTTAAACAATTTCACTTTCTGTGCAAGTGACTTAGAGAGTACATGCATACATGTATGCATAGGTGGGTAAATATGTTTCTGTGTGGATATGCCACAGCTGGCAACCACATAAGATGCTGCAGTTTACTTAAAACCAAAGTTATTTACATATTTTTTGAAGAATTAATCCAGTTAAGCTACAGTCCCTTTTTATTTTACAATTTTCTTTATTTCATAACATTTTTGAGCAATCAGGTGCCCTAACTCGTTGCAATTGTCCTCCTGTTTTTGTGTTTAAATTCCATGCTTCCCAGCTGCTTAGAAAAGCCAGATTAGTTGCATATTAACAATGAATCTAAAAATAAAGAAATGTAGCGTGGTTTCCATGGGCCAGGTATAGAATAGATCCCAGAGCCAGCATCCAAAAACTTTAGAGGCTCCCATGGAGACCTAGTGGATCCATTTGAAACCAGTCCTAAATATTACAGATTTCTGCAGGCTGGATATATATATGTTCCCATGATTCAAAGAAAATTCCACCAAAACCGGTCCGCATTGTGACAGAGATTTGTCTGACCTCCGCTATTACCTTAGGTTTGTCTTTTGCCTAGTTACAACATTAGCCAATTCCAGTGTTTAGTTGTTATGGAATCACAAGATCACAAAATAGCTGGGGTTAGAAGGGATCTCTGGAGGTCATCTTGTCCAACCCTCTCTTCAAGAGGGTCACCTACAGCCACTTGCACAGGACCGTGTCTACACAACTTTTTACTATCTCCAAGGATGGAGACTCCATAGTCTCCCTGGGCACCCTGTGCCAGTGCCCTGTGCCAGAGTGTCACCCTCACAGTGACAAAGTGCTTCCTGATGTTCAAAGCGAACCTCCTGTGTTTCAGTGTGTGACCATTACCTCTGGTCCTGTCACTGGGCATCACCAAAAAGAGTTTGGCTCCATCCTCTTTGGGCCTTCCCTTCAGGTATTTATACATATTGGTAGGATTGCCCTGTGCCTTCTGTTCTCCACGCTGAGCAATCCCAGGTCTCTTAGCGTTTCCTCGTATGAGAGATGCTTCAGTGCCTTAATCAGCATCATGACCCTTTGTGTCCAGTAGCTCCATATTGCTTTTGTTCTGGGGAGCTCAGAATTAGACACAGCACTCCAGGTGTGGCCTTGCCAGAGTCAAGGAGAGGGGAAGGATCACCTCCCTCAACGTGTTGACAACACTCTGCCTAATGAAGCCCAGGATACTGGTGACCTTATTTGCCGCAAGGATACCTTATTGGCTCATGTTCGACTTGGTGTCTACCAGGACTCCCAGGTCCTTTTCTGGAAAGCTGCTTTCCAGATGGGTGGAGCTAGCATATATTGGTGTACGGAGCTGTTCCTCGCCAGGTGCAGGACTTGACACTTCCCATCGTTGAACTTCACGAGGATCCTGTCAGCCCATTTCTCCATCCTGTTGAGGCCCCTCTGGATGGCAGCATGATCTTCTGGTCTATCAGTTGCTCCTCCCAGTTTCATGTCATCAGCAAACTTGCTGACAGTACACTCTACTTCATCATCAAGATGTTAAACAGATTTGGACTCTATTGACCCCTTGGGTACACCACTCCTTGCTGGCCTCCAGCTAGACTTTGTGCTGCTGATCACCACCATCACAGGCCTGGTTGTTCAGCCAGTTTCCAGTCCACCTCACTCTCTGCCCATCCACCTCATTCTTTTACTGGTTAAGAAAATTACAGATTATCACCAGTTTTCCTCTCTGGGTCACTCTAAAATTTCTCATTCTGCTCGTTTGCCAGTAACTCTAAATAACCTGGCACAGATTTTTGTATCTCTTAAGAAGTTTTGAATGTAATTCTGTGCTTCACAGAGACTTTAAAGAAAAGCTTATAGTAACTAAACGTTGCAGGAATCTATTATTTGTGGAACAGGTTGTAATTTGTTATCACCAAAACAAATTTCTGTATAACCTTTATTTTGTGGGTTTTGGTTAGTTTTAAAAGACATTGAATCCTTCAGGAAAGAGCCACAGAACTTCTCTTGGATGCAAGATATAACTTTAACACACTTTCACATTTCTTAGGAAAATTCCTGGTTTTCGCTTTACTTACTTCATTTCCCCATTAAAGAGATTCTGATTAAAAAGTTTGTGTATTGCGTTCCTCTCAAGGCCAATTGCCTCTTATTTTTCTCTCTCATTATAGGTGATCAATCTTATTTGTCACAGCAAAATTTTCCTGTCTCGGGAGGTTTTCGTAATGGGAACATGATTTTCATCAGGACTATCTGTCTGTTGGAAGATGTAGCCAGTCAGTGTTTAGATATCATTAAAAGGGTTTTGACTCAGCCAGACTGATAATAACAATTTGATTGAATTACATACAGAAGAGCTGCGAAAGTATAATCTGTTTAATGGTAGACTATTTAGAAAACAAACATTTGCTGGGTAAATATGCTTAAACATGTTTGAATTTTCAGTATGTATGATAATACCTTATTTACATTGCTGTTTTTATTATAATAGTGTTGGTATACTAATAACGTTTAATGAAGTGTATCACCTCAGGAGTCATAGGCTTTATTTCACTGTCAATCTTGAGATGTTGAAAGGTTACAAAAAGATTATTTTTCAAAACTGAGCAAGATCTAACATATTTACAGAGTTTTAACAGATTGTGCACTTCTATATGTATTGCTACCAATATTACTGTACAGTTAACAAATAAGAACATGCCTTCAGAATTGTTCTGTGGCTCAAATTTCATGGTCTAGATTACATGTCAGCCTGGATTCCTCCTACTATCACTCCTTTATATGAAAACTTCTTCATATGAGAGAAATTTTGTCAAGATCTTTTTCTCCTTCTTTCCTCCTCTGTACATTGTTAATGTGGTGGAGTGTTTTCAGTAAATGAGAGTGATCCTTGCAAACCCAGCAAGAGGAAGAAATGTAATTGTTACTCTAATGGTTTGGATGTTAATTTGAACCAGTATCCAAAGTAGGTTTCCTTTAAGTATCTTGCTTTCAGCACTAAATATCAACATCTGAGTACAGTAATTGAAATATTTAATTACTTTTAGTGTGCTTGGTTATCATGTCTATCTACTGATCTATAAAACTGCTTAACAATTAATACTAATTGCCTACTCATTATATTTGCAGTCCCTTAAGTTCATGAGTATTTACTTATGATTTATATTGTGCAACTGTAAAAGATAACTGGGAAGAACAACAGTAGCCTGGTTATAGAGGAACAGTTTTAAAAAGTGATTTTACAACTCCAGTTTTTGAAGTCAACACATTCAGACTGTCCAGGTTAAAATGGCTGATCTTGCTTATAAAGCAGTAGACTTTTTCAGGACAGTATTTTGTTGTGATTCTTACTGTCCTGACTCAACTGAAGCTAGAGGGGAACAGCAGTTTTGGTGATGAGTTGATTTTTTTTTCATTTGATACGTTTCCTACTTCAAAACTTTCTCTTCATTGTTTTATTTGTGGCTTTTTCTACACTGACACAATCCTGAAACAGTAAGATCAGTTCCATGAGTAGACCACATGGCTGAAACTCTACCTTGGTTTTCCTCTTGTGCAATCCTTTTGAGGCCTGGGCACTATGTATGTGGCTCAGGAGAAGCTTAATGCAAAGTGTTTGTATATAAGTGTTTATCATTGATTTCAGAAGACTAGATTCTGTCAGCTTTCCACAGAAAAAGTAAAGGCCAGTGGATTTCTTTCTTGGTGTTTTGGTTTGGCTTGGTTTGGTTTTCTCCTGAAAATGAGAAAAAGACTGCAGAACATTCATTTTAAGTAGAAAATGCAATGATAATGCAATGCAAGTGATAAAAATCTCCTAGACAAGACCAGTCTATTCTGAAGAAATCATCTGTTCTTGAACTACTTCAGCCTCTTTCACATTTCTGGTTTTGGACAGTATCTTCAAACTGGGCCAAATTTTGTGAAATGATGACTTGTCTATGGCTAGTTGTCTATTGAAGCATAGGTCTAAGACCAGACTAATTTCATCTATGTGTTATACCTGGCTATAAAAGTATGATACAAAGCATTTCAGATAGTAAATATAATGATGATTATCTGATTGAAAATAACACATGTATTAGACTTATTACCTTGTTAGCGCAATGAATTCCATGGTAATCCTTATGGTATTTATTCCAGGAAGACCAAATGGATGCTTCTGACAAAGAAAGTGTCTCCTCTTTGTCAGTAGGGATGGCAGAGTATTCATAAACACAAAATGAAGTTTAAATTTCTCTAGTTAAGTTGAGTGTTATACTGCAAAATGCAAAATAGGCAAAATGATTCTGAATGGATCTGTAAATATATCCTCTTTTATTAGAATGATGTATTAAAATATCATGTGGTTAGCTGTGTGATGTCCTTGCTTGCTACTGTATGCAGAAATATTTTTTAACTCACTCTTCTGAGAGACAGAGAAAAGCAGGATTTCATAACAGAAAAAAAGAACTTTGTATGATAGTATTGATAGTAATAATGTCTGCATTAATAATTAGTGTTGCCATAGTTTTGAAACATTTCTCGTTTCCGAGAAATATATATGTGTGTAACTGAAGTGCATTGACAAATTTTAGCATGTTGACATTATAGCCAAGATATTGAACAAAACTAATTTTCTCTTTCTCAATTTTTAAGATCCAGATTTTAAGGACCTTGGCGTTTTGAAACCATTGCCAGGTTGGTATGTTGGGGTTTTGGCTTTGGTGTTTTGTTTTGTTTTGTTTTGTTTTGTTTTTTAACTTGGAGACCTTTGTACTCTGTTGTAGAAAATATTTTTGTTTGCTGTTCAGGTTTCATTTTTTCTGGTATTTTGTTATTCAGTTTGTGAGTTTGAGATGGGAGGACCTGAAGGAATTGTGGAATCTGTACAAATTGTCAAAGAAGGAAAAGCTTCTGAAACTGAAGCAGTAGACTGTAAATGGTACATCCGAGCACCACCCCGATCCAAGGTCAGTCCTTAATCCACTTGCTGATTCGCCATTTAATTTAAGAAATTGACTTTTCTAATATGTTGTGCATTTCTTAGTACAGTCAGATCTTGTTTAATAACTTTACAGCTTGAACTTGTAAACTATTCTTTTCCTTCTGCCATGGAAGGGTGATTTGTCACCTCAGACAAAATAGCCTTCTTTCTCTATAAATAATGATATGGGCAGTGTTAATGTGCTTTTTGTGCCATAAGTAATTTTCCTAAATTCTTCTTTAATTTTGCTCATATTTTTAAAGAATCAATGTGTTTTCTTAAGCGGGAGGTAATCTTATCACTTTAATTTTCAATATATTTCAAATACCTAATATAGAGACTACTAAGGGAACACAGCTGGCTCCCTAAGGTCATCATTGTTTCTCATGTGCGAACGGTGAAAATGGAGCCAAGGTAAATTCATGTTGCTCTGTATGAGACCTTTAGTTCCTTTGGTTTAGAGTCGCAGACAAAAAGAGATAGTGTTGTCATTTCTCTCCCATCACGGCCAGCAATCTGTGCCTTCGTAACAAACAGGAGAGGACTCCAATGAATTTCACAATTCTTTTCTTGGATTCTGTTCGAGTTCCTCTCTTATCCATGGCTTATCAGTTATTATATGGATTAACTGCTGCTGACTACACTACCGTTTCTCCTCTCTTTATAATGGGAACACCTTTCCACCTCCCACCTACTTTCATTTACTCTGTTAAAGACAAATTCACATCACATTCACATTATATTTTTTCTAGCTGTCTTTTATTGAACAGGAAAGGTTTTACAAGGTAGAACTTATATATACATTTATCTCTGCCATCTCTAAACAAGTAAGGGTCTTTTTATATAATCTCAGAGCAGACTGTACTGAATATATCTAATTGTTTCAACATTTGTTATAGAATAAGCAGGAGAAAGTGTTTCCAGAAGAGACATAGTCATTAGTATCCATGTTCTTCTGTTATGAACGTTTAGGAGAGGAGTTGCATAGTCGGATCATAAAGACTAGAGATAAAATACTTCCAGAATATACTTTGATCTCTTTTTTTTTTTTTTTAATTTTGGGTAAATTCAATATTCATAGAGGTTTTCAATTAAGTAAATGAGCTTCCTACTTTGCTACAGTAAGTAGCTGTAGACAAGAAATGACGGGACTAATGAATGACTACTGCATCTGTTATATCTTTAGGTATTAGTACAAAGAAAACAGGTAAACATAAAATTAGAATTGTGATTATTAGAATCAGTACAATCAAATAAGCCAATAAAATAAGCCAATAAAATTGTCCTATAGTCTTAATTTCAGTTTCTGCTTGGTTGGTCAGATAATGTCATTGTCGTATTCTTAGTTGACCTGTGTCTAAAGTTCTGTACGATTCAAAGCGCTACTAGAAGTCCCATATTTACTTACCTCTAGGATTTATCCACACTTTGGTCCTGATGTAAAAATGCAAATTGTGTAGTTACACAACTGTAAACACAGTGTGTAACAGAAGAATGCCACACTACCACTGCTAATAGAGGATTAAAGATTGTTTAGCTCTTCATGAACTTCTATGCCTGCGTTTAGTTGTGTTGCATTTCAGAAAGTGTGTACCAGCTGAAGAGCATCTGGAAGGGAGAGCTATGAGAGTTCTAGAAAACCTGAGGAAACATTGAAAGTTATTTAACGTTACCTGGAAGATTTTGTGAAGGAGTATGATACCAGATAATAAAAAACTTTTACAATGAGGGAGGAATGCTCTGATCTCCATGTCTATAGGCTAAGTCATGGTCCTGCACTCCGAAAGAAAGATTCAGGTTAGATACTAGGGGAGAAAATTTCAAACAGCAGGGAGGGGATTATGAATGAATGGTTAAGGAAGTCTGTTCAGCCAACATTGCTAGCGGTCTTAAAGTGCAGGTTAGGTAACAACCTATGATAAATGAAAGAAACGTTACTAATCCTACTTTTAGGCAGAGGGATGGGCTGGGTCATCTCTTGACGAATCTTGCTGCTCCCATCTTACAGAATTCTCTGGGTAGAGAGATAGGGTAGAAAGAGATATAAAAGCATACAAATCAGTGTTTCCTAACATATGGAGTTGAAAGCTTTTTCAGCAAGCTAGGAAAAAAAACAGTTTTCAAGCCTAGATTAGAGGGATAAATCCAATTTAGCACTTTAGCACTGTGGTTTTGGTTTCCACATATATATAATGTATACACACACACACAAATATACACTTGTGTGTATACATACATGCACACACACATATGGTTGTGGTATTCTCATACTGAGGACAGGCTGAAAAATTTTCAGATATTAAGGAAGCAATTAGTGGATAAAATTTTAAAAAGCCTTGTATGAAGTAGGATTTATGGTAAGATTGTTTATGGGCCTCATTGGATTGAACTGGATTCTATTGTCCATATTTTATAGCCAGCTTTCTTTGTGCTATCTAACCTTGAACTAATGACATATTCAGTACAATAATTTAGTGACCTCATTCTAATTTATGGCAGCTTGCACCTATAAAAACAGGCTCTCCTGCTAAGAACAGTAAGAACTCAGCAGAAGTCTTTAAATCCACATGTTCCTATACTCTGGGCTGCACAATTTGTTACTGGGAAATATGCCTAAAAGGCCAGAGTTTCTCAGACAGAACTTGGGTTGGATCTTCACATCTTTAGTTTCTTAATTAAACCGTGCCAGAATGTGGGCTGCTTGCAATTTCATTTGGCTTAAGCTCATCCAATCTAAACTGTCTACAGAAGCAAGATGCAAGTCCTTTCCTTGGTTTCCAATTCCAGATTCAAGCCAAGTCTGAGCTCAACGTATGAGCAATGAGATCAGTCAGGCAGTATGAACTTGAAATCTCTAAACCTGAGCTTCAAACTGATGGTCTGGGTGTAACGTTGCTGCTATCCTGAGCAAGTTGAAATCTCTAAACCTGAGCTTCAAACTGACGGTCTGGGTGTAACATTGCTGCTATCCTGAGCAAGCTGGAATGGGACAGAAAATAGCAAATTTCTTGTACACACTTAAAATAGAGCCATCACTGATTACTTTATAACACAAAAAATAAAATGCTGAAAATGCATGCAGAATTGAAACTTTCTGGAAGTGCAGAAGACAGCAGAAGGCAGTTTAAACATGACTTCAATCTATATGCAGACCTGGGGCCTTATATTTGACAGTGATTGGTTGCAAAGTGTGCGTTTCTTGTAATTATTTGAAGTCTTTTTTTTTACTGTGAATCTGGAGTTCAGAAACACCAAGGGTTCTACACTTCATGTAGAAGTTGACTTCGTTAAGTAATCACAGCAAGAATGGAAAATGAAGGGACCTGTGACTGAATGTGCCAACCCACCCAGAACAGCAAAGAGCTGGAGGAACCTCCCCATCCCAAAATTCTTCACTGTAGAACAAAGCCCAAAGGAGGACGTGGATAAGCATCTTGCACTGGGATTTGAAAAACTTCAGAGATATCATTGGCTACAGCAGTGCACAAACAAACAATCTCTAATTATGAATGGGAAATAAGAAAATGAAAAGAATGATAGCATTTACTCACTTTCGGTTAAGGGTGAAATGTTGGAGGATAGTAGCAACGACAAGTGTTTTTCTATATTGGATGTGCCAGCAGAGTTTGACAAGGTCCCCCAGGAAGACAGAATGCATATTTGTGCTAAGGTAGCGCTCCCTTTAGTGGGTAGCTTTCCCAGCAAGGTACCGTTATGTCGTGCTTGTTCCTTGAGAGGTTTTGTAGGAAAAAAAACCCCAAAACACAGTAGAATTTGACAGTAAAAGTAATAAAACATTTACAAAGATGATGTTCTGATGCTGGGAAAAAAACAATAAGCAGTGCTTATAATCAGAAGCTCTGGGCGGTTTGGGAAAGAGCACCCAAACTACAGATAGACAAGCATTAATTTGAATCTGATTCAGTGCAAGTCATCTGTTCAGAAGGAATGAGCAAGATTTACATTTAGACAGAGCAAATAGTGAGGCTACCCTCCATATGTACACCACAAGAAAGAAAATGAAGTTGTAAGCTAGTTATGGAAAGTGATGACTATATCTCCTGGCCCGCTTGAGCATGCTACTGGGCAAAGAAGATATCTTTATGGGTTATAGGATGCAAGACAACAAAAAGCTTAAGAAATTGAAAGGGTTAATTAACGAGTTTCTAGTTTTGACATGTTATTGCAGTATCTTTAAACCTGAGCTGCTGGTGAGCGATGGTGTTTGTTTCAAGCAGAGCTGTTGGAGAGCAGTGGGAGGGGGATGCACAGCACATGGGAGAGGGTCATAGGACCAGGACATGTCCGACGAGGACAGCCGGGCAGGCCCAGCCATGGTGGCCAGGGTGCGGTGGTGACTGGGCTTGCCCGTGACAATGGGGCCAGCTCAAGCTGGGCAGCAGTTCGGAGATGGATGAGGCTGGGGCAGTGAGACGAGAGGCCAGGCATGTGCCAAAAGCCCAAGTGGGGCCAAGACACTTGCATATTTACAAAGGATAGGTATTGCTACCTGGTAGAGGCTCTAAATCACTTCTCACTGTTTTCATGGTGGACCTTGTATCCACAGACTTGACCAAGTAGAGAGGTGATGTTTTTGGTTCTAGGTGCTTGACTTCAGATTGAATATAGCCTGGAGAGAGACTGGGTTTTGTGCACACATTTCCGAGACAATTAGGAGGAAACGTGGTGAAGCAAATTACAGAACTACAAGTCTGTATAAACCAATCCAACTAAATCAAACCATTCTCACATGTGAAGTGGAAACTTTTGCTCTTGAATGAGACCTGCAAGAAGAACATTTTAAGCTGTCAGCACTAGCAGACTAGCCTATGCCTAATTTTTGGAGTCTTCTTAAGTAGATGTAGAAGAGAAGCTTCAAGGAGTACACTAAAATTTAATAGGAGCCATTTGAGTGGGGATTCCTGAAATGTTACAGAAAAATGAAATTTAGAGACTGAAAAATCTAGTAGCCAGAGACAATTTTTG